TTGTTGAGACATGTAAGAGAATAGATTAGAGTGGCTTAGAGTGGACCATTCAAAATGACATTTAATTTATTTTTATTCAAGGTTTGTTAAAACAAATGGCTAAGAGTTAGGTCTCCTGAATGAAGAATTTTAAGCTTTATCGATTATTAATATCTTCGAGTTAAATGAGAGTTGGAGTGGACTAGAGCAGAGCGTGCTTCACTAATGCCCCCTATTCAAGACGCTACAAGTGACAGGTTGTGCAATAACCTTTTCTTGTCTGTATGTCAACACTCTTTTTATATATTACGAAAGTATATGAAGATTATCTCTGCAGCGGCTAAAATAGCATAATTATAATGCAATCGCTATTTAAAGTGTTTATCTAGAGCGGATTATAACTATATTGAAGTCATGAGTTCATTCAGTAGAACATTCAATATTGTACGAAACTGTTATGTTTGCTTCAACATATGAGCAAGCATGCATATTTCTTTAATTGTAATTAGTGAAGTGACTCAGTTCAGATTGTGCTTTTTTTATTTTAGCAAAAAACTCGTGCTGTACTACTAAGTCATCTGTAGACTACAATTTTGATCGAATCATTTTCATTTGGGCAATATCAAAATGTTTCGCGCTATTTAGTTTATTTTTCGTAACGATTTCTTCTAGTAATTTAAAAACGAATATGAAAAAGCATATAATATAATGATGAATACTGTGGCTCAATATATGTACCACTAGAAACATTTGCGGTGATTTCAAATAACTGATTTCAACGTATCATTCATTTAATCATTTAATATTTTTTATAATAAAAATTTGAACTAAGTACAAATATATTAGTAAATTGATATACTATTTTGAGATTACTCTTTCTGATTGAGTCATTATAGGACTTTTTCGTTCTTGTTTAGTTCATTATTATACAGGTATTTGATTTAAATGAACAATGCATATTAAAGTCATGTCTCATTGTTCGCTTTGTCGAGAGAGAAAAAAGAAACAAAAAGTTGAAGGATGTAAGAGAACCAATAGAAAAACATCGTATATTGCACATTGTTTTTTTTTCGTATTCGTCCTATTTTTCTCGTTTCTTTTCTTCTCTGCTTATTAAGTAGTGTTATCGGGCATAATTATTTTTATCATCAATAATCTTTATTGAAACCAGAGTATCCATTTATATTAAATGCAAGAAAGTGAATGTTTACACAATGAACCGCTATCTAATGATTATCATTTGGAATATTTGGATGAATTTTTACAACTAAGATGTGCTCCAGATTTGATCACAATGGGTTTATTTCCCAATTCTAAAGAGATTACAGAAACATTTGCTGTTTGGTCAGCATTAAGGCGACACATTTTTCCACAATTATCAACATCTATATCTTCAACTGACAATCGGCAAAATGCAATCATTGTTGTTGGTGATGGCATGACACCTCGTACAGCTGCTCTATGTGCATTTTTAACAAAAGGATTATGGCAATGTTATAGTATTGATCCAATGCTTCAATATGATACCTATGCTGATATGACGTTTATTAATCGACGAAGTATTACAACAGCTGATCATTGTAAAGAATGGAAAAGTATTAAAGGTTTACGAATGGCACGTGCTAAAATTCAAACAGTATCTATACAATGTCGAAATGCAATTGTCGTTATGATGCATGCTCATGTTGCTATTGAAGATGCCATAGCAGCTGTAGATGCATCAGAAGGTATTATTGGTATTGTAACATGTCCATGCTGTAAATGGGCACCTTATCAGCAAGAATGGCTCGGACAAGCACCACATCATCAATATACAGATTTAAGATTATTAAGTGTCAAGAATCAAATGAATGTATGGTATTTTCCACAAGGTTGTCATAGTAAATTACCTAATATCTCAGTTAATTCAATCAGTAGTACAATGACTGAACATAAGCAACTTCCAAGTGAACGCAATATATGGGGCATAGATACAAGTATGATTGAAAATGTATTATCTACTCGTGATGGAGTAAAACAACGAGCTATTGAATTATGGCCACAAATATTTTCAAAAGGCATTGAAGCATTCAATGTTACTGATGTAAATCAATTATCAGGTACGAATATATTTAACGAAACAAAAGATTGAAATATCATTCAATGTACTATATATGATTTAGATACATGGCCATGGGCATCAACAACATGGTCACCTAAAGATATATTACCATTTATGAAATCATGTAGTGCTAAGTCAACATCATCGTCATCATCATCATCAGATGATGTACCATTATTACCTTCATGGTTTAGAAAACCTGTTTTACTCGTCGGAACAATTGCAGCTATGCGACGATGCAAACATACAATTTTTTATGAATTAAATACTTGTGCCATACCTTCAGAAGAACTTGAAGATATTCTACGACTTACCTGCCATACATTATCTACGATAAATATCTTTGAAGAAAAAATACATGCATCAAACGATACATTTCCTGCATTATTAAAATCTGCTGATCGTATGTGGACATGTGTCGAATATCAACGACATCTTCAAGCTGTTGCTGCTTATGATCCGACGGTGGAACGAAAAACAAAAAATCGAAATTTACAAACAACAACTACTAATAATATTACACAATCACCGAATATTGATCGTGTCAACGTAATACTTTCTTTATTATCTTATGAACGTAAAACTCCATCTACTGTTGAACATACGACTACTTCTACACTTTCACAAACAAGAGATCATCCAAAAGTGAAATTATTCGATCATAATCCACAACCACAACAATCATTATTTCCTTGGGCTATGTATTTACGACCTGGTGATATTTTAGTTGCATATTGTGAATTAGGACGTAATGCATCACAAGGACCACAGTTATGTTTAATTGATGGAATTTTATTATTTGATAGTATGTTACATATGATTGGCGTTGATCGTCGAATTCTACAATAATGAATGATGAATTCAACTTGATGAACTCATTCCAAAAACATTTGTTTCGAAAAATTTGTTCAAATTGTAATGAACTTTATTTTTCAATAAAATGCCATTGAAAAGATTATATGAAACTAAATAAATAGATACTACAGCTATTTTATGACAAAAAAATAGCATTCGAATTCTGAAATAAAATTGAAACGAAAATAATTCCACAATCGTATTCATATGCTATACTTTACATATTTATTTTGAATATTTGGGTTATCATCAATTCTGTCAATGCTATTTCATAGACTACTTGAGAGCATCTTTTTTTCTATAAAACAAAAATAACAGATTTTTGAATTTTTTGTTCTAATCTATAAGAATTCGCTTAAATTCTTTGCTGCAGAATCCTTGCATGAGCGCAAAAGAATTCAGTTGTTATTCTCTGCTTAAACTTTGTCTGCAAGTGTAACATTGAAATATGGATAAGTGACTGTGATTTATTCCATTGAACGACTAGAAATAGTACTACTTATTGAATCTAAGTTTTAAAACAATATATTATAAGATATTGCGTCTTGCAGTATCCTAAAAGTTCAAACTGTTTATATCAAATCTTATAGCCTCTTAGTCTAGCTCTAGGATGGATGATCATCTCACATGGTAAGTCATGTACATCTATTTATCACTGAAGCATATAAGCTCAAGATGATTTCTACTAGGAGGGCGTGAGTGTGCATGTAGTTGAAGACAACAACAATCCAATAGCTATATTCGCACCCTATTTCAAGCATTCATAATAAGAAATGCTTTTCTCAAGGTATGTCATATTTTAAATTGTTCAAATAAAACCGATTGAAAACAATGTTGATCAATACTGGGAAATAGAATTGAAACTAACCACTCAGAACGAGCATTGCAACAGGCATAAGCGTTTGTACGTCGTCGTAATATTTGACTTCAGAATTACGACCGTACATGGTTGTATACGACTTAACATTCTACAGTATTCACATATGCTTCTTCTAAGTCGAGTGACAGACGGTTTGTCCCGTCTTCCTTAAACAACGAGAATTTTTTTATTTTTATCTGAAAAAAGCAACTTATTGTTTAATGTATTGGTCGCATTGAACTAAATAAAGCAGTAAAATTGTTTATATCAAAAGTATATGTACCATTGTATTTGTTGTTGAATTTCAAATGGAAAAGCTTTACGCTCGATACGTTACAACTAGACTAAACATGAACTTACAGTTGAATCAGTTTATGTACTACTGTCGTTTACACTTATGGTACACGATTATATTTTATGGACTTGAGTGGTAATAATGACCTATAGTGTGGCATTGACTTGGCCGAATACTTCTTATATTAAACTAATTATAATAATTTGAAGAAGTATGTGAAACTTTACTTGTTTTACCATAGGTAAATATTGATAAATGTCACTTTTATCATCACCTTATTATAACCAATTGAGAACAAAGTGGTTATATCTCAGCATTCTCATTTTTAAAAAAACTCAACTAGAACTTTCGATAAAAGCTATGCAGCATAATTATTCTTGTTTGAATAATTCTTATAATAATATTGATTTAATAAATTGAGAAAAGAAATGAATATTAGTCTGTACAGAAATTTAGAAAGACAAAATCTTATCCGTAATGAAAAATAGTTAATTTATAATAATGATCATTTATTGATTTTCGAGCTGATTTTATGACACCAAACTATATTTGTAGATGTATTTGACTATGTTTACTTGTCATGTTAGAAAAAAATTCCATATATTTCAATATAAAAAGAGATCTCATCAACATTGATAGAAAATTCTTCATAATGACATTCTTCCTAGTAAAAACTATGATTTTCTTGAGTTTAATCAAATAATCATTACAATCATTTGTTTATTTCATTAGAGAATTTCACATATATTCAATCATGAATTAATCAGTTAATCAGTAATGTACTATGCATAATTTTATCTATAAAAAACATATCACTAAATCACGATTATTCAATAATACTTTTTAAAAAAATTCTAAACAAAAAGAAAAACAAATCCCAAATAAAAATATTATTGTCTTTTTCATTCCATTTAAGCTGACTCAGTACGTAATAATATTCTATAGAGTAATTGAGGAAATAAACGACGTATATAAACCACAACAACTGCTAAATGACCAACATAGATTTCATGTTTCCTCGCAGCAATACCACAAAGTATATCATACGCACATACAGTTGGATCTGTTCCTTTTTCAGTTTTTGGATCCATCTTTTTATGTAATTGTCCAGAACCTTCGAAAGCATTTAATGAAATATCTGTTTTAACAAAACCTGGGCATGCTATTGTTACATCTATATGATCTTTAGCATGTTCCAATCGAAGAGAGTCAAAAAACGCATGTAAAGCATGTTTAGAAGCAGCATATGACGAACGTAATGCTGTAGCAGCATAACCAGCTACTGATGTAACGACAACAAAATGACCTTTTTGACGTTGAATAAAATGCTAAAAAGAAACATATTTTCTTCAAATAAAATCAAATATGTTTTTCTTTCTGTATACCAATAGTACAGCTTTACTTAATGTAACTGTACCCAAAAAATTAATACTCATTAGTCGTGTATCAACTATGTATTTTGTTTCTTTGATTAAACTTCGTTGTGACACACCAGCATTATTAATTAAAACATCAATATGATCGAATCGATCAAGAACAATATCAACTTTTGATTGAAAACCACACTCATGTGTTTCAAGATCAAGTGGTAAAACAAGACAATGATCTGCATCAAGTTGAAGTTCAGCAGCAAGTAAACGTAATTCTTCTTCACGTCTTGCTGATAAAACAAGACGAGTAGACGGTGAAAGACGAACTAATTCTTTTGCTAATTCACGACCAATACCTGACGATGCACCTATACCATAGGAAAAGATAATAAGTACAAAAAAGAAAACGAATATTCTTTAAAATTCTATTTTTTATTTGATTGTAAAAAGATTCTCCTTCCTTTGCACAGATTTCTCGAAAATGGTTCGTCTGCATAAGTAGATCAAAAGCTGTCATAGACTCGAAATTTTCAGATGCTTTCTTCAGAAAGATATTGAGGTTGAAAAGGTCAAAAATAGTCAAAAGTCTTCCATTCTGGAAGCGCTGTCTAAAACCGTTTTTCTTTCAATGGCACTAATTTTTAAATGTTACCGAAATATCTAAAAATAACATTTTGACGAAGGAAGAAAAATCACGCATCCCAATTTGACCAAAGTACTCATTAAAAGAAATCTAAGCCCGATTCGACGTAACATGGGAGAAAAATTTGCTCTTTTTTGTTCATAAATTGATTTTGAGAAGAACGCAAAACAAACTTTCTGATATGCATTAGGATCGTTGTTTCTTCAACCATAGCAATCGAAAACCTGGTCGCATTTAACTGTGTAAGCGGTCTATGAATATGCTTTCAGCATATTTGAAACGAAAAAATATTCATTGATATGAGAAAAATTTTGCATAGAAAGAATAATTGCAGTACGAGTTTTTTTGTTCAAAGATATATTAGTGACCAAAAAACGAAAACACTTTGGTTTTAACACCTGGAAAGAGGCACACGGTGCTCTTAAGAAAGGTTAGACATTTGGAAGAGAAAATTTTTGCCATTTTTTTGAATTGAATTTCTCGATGGTGAAACGAAAAATTCATCGAATTTCAGATTTACGTCTTATTTATATATGATTACTTACCAGTTATCCAAACAACTTTATTTTTGAAATAATTCTCAATATTATCATGTAGAGGATATATAAAATAAGCAATTAATGCGATGATACCAATATAAAGGATAATTTGAAAGAAAATATTTAGAAATTCGTTCATAATTCTACAAATAAAAGAATGATATTAATCTTCTTTTATCAAACATAATTCACTATTCTTTTATTCAAAGTCGTTTTGTTTTCACACATTTATTTGGTAAAATATTATTATATGAAATCAAAAAAAAAAATACAAAAATTTCAAGGAAAAATGCTATAGATTTAACATATGAAACAACGCAGAAGAGTCAATGAGCTCTTGTGAGAATAAAGATAAACGTAATAAAAATTCTTTATCCTGTCTGTTATAGTTTGTGCAGACAGCTAAACATAAATGCGTGCGACCTTTTAATACTATATCTTAATACTTCAAATTGTCTTTTTAAATTTATGAATTTCACCATATCAGGTTTGTGCAGAACAATCTCGATTAGGTATTAATAAGAGAATCGACTCTGGAATAAAAAGAAATTAACATATTTCAAGAAGATGAAAAGATCGATTTTTCAAAACTGAAAAGACACTTATAGCTTAAGGACTAGAAGTATCTAAGATTATTTGTACATTGAATTGTAACTGTACTATTTGAATAATGAAACGAAAAACTAGGAAAAAATTCTCATATTTTATAGTTTACCTGATAAGTCATTTTTAGTAGAGGGATAAAACCACATAACTAAACGTGTTCGATTTGTTAAATAAAACAGCCAGTAATTATCTAATTAAAAAATTTAGTTCATCATTCATATATATAGACTTGTTAATTCGATAATATTTTATAACAGCATCTATGTGAAGGAAAGAGCATCAATCCTAATATCCATTATCGTTAATACTATTTACTCAGTTTTTTTTTAAATTTTATTTTAACTAATACAAGCGCCCTCTCTCATATTGATTTAATGCAAGTAGTAAGAAATTTGTCGACATTCTTCTTTAATACTTTTTGTTCTTTTAGTTCCAGGTCACTTTGATCATTGTAAATTCAATGTTTTACAGTATGTACAAGTGATCATGAATTTGATGTAATTTTGACAACTAATTTCGCATTTTTTTTTATAGCTTCTCGATACATCGAACGAATGCTTGACAGTTTCTGAAAACTCATTCAACCAAGTTTGTAGAAAAAGCACTAATTTGACGTATGGTTTAAGCATGATGTAATTAAATTATGTATTTGGTACGCATTGTATGAAAGTCTTAATTTTATCTTTCATAATAAGAAATAACTCCATCACTCGAGCTCTTCGCTTTTTTGTATCAATCTGAGGACCAAACGTTTTTTTCATTGATCGATCGTTTTCTCATTCAAAACTATTCGAGTGTAGGTAATTAATCAATTTAATACCAAATATGAGCATGAAAATTTTTCTTGTTATTCATTTCCTCATGTTCGAGAATCACATAAATTTCTCGAAAAACAAAAAAAACTTTTAGATGTGTCCAGGTGATACAGAATATTTAATTGTGTCTGAAACATATACTTTTTTTTGTATCAAATGGTTATTTCTGGATAAAACATAGTCATTAGTCTGAACAGCAAATTTTCAAAAAAAAACCATTGTATGAATAACTAAAAGAAATTCTCATGCTCATATTTGATAGCCTACAATCAGGGAATTTTTAGTGAGAGAGCAATTGATCAGTTGAAAACATTCTTTCGTGAATATAATTTCTACGAATGAATTGTACAGTTGCTTTGTTTTCAAAACAAATGCTTGAATTTTATCGAATATAATTTGAACTGAATGAGTTGGTAAATATATAAAATTTTGAAAAAAGCTTTTTTTTAATATAATGAGTGATCGAATTCATGAATACCGCATTACAAAATAGTCTAAGACATATTTCAGTCATTGAATTCGGTACAAATTAGTGGCGTTTGCATGTACAAATATGAAGGTGAAATTACTATTCGCTTCATTCAGAAGTATCATGAACGTTTTCTTTACTAAAATTATCATAATAACAGACCTGTTAGAAAATTTAATTGAAACACTATTGACATGACTATTTTTTATTGAAAAAGAAAATAATCAGTGAATAATTTGGAAAAATGATATGTCAGCAGATGGTAACCTTATCCATTAGTAAGCTTCATAATATACAGAACAAGCGGAATCTCTTTATTAAGAAATAATTAGGGAGAAACTATTTCTTAAAGGATGAATTTCTAGCAGAAATCAATAATCATCTTATCTACAAAAATCCAAATTTGAATTGAAATAAATATTTGAATAACTTTTTTCATTCTATTTTGAAATCTATCGAATCATCTTTAAGATAAAGTCAAATATAATGATAGATCAGTTATTTTGTTTACTTTCTATAAATTTTAAAATAATTGATGTTACTTTTGTCAACGTATAGTATTCAGAGAATAAATCTTTACTTTTTCATTCTTTCAAATGCTAGTAAATTAGTAACTATATATAATAATCATTTCCGCTTGTCGATCATTATTATGGCAAAAAATAAGATATTTTTTTAAAATATAAAATTCATTTGTCTCTTCCAAAAAAAAAACGAGAGAAAAGATACAAAAAAAAAGAAAAAACATTGAAAACTTATTGTTTGGTTGAAAAGACATTATCTGTAATCGATGAATTGGAAACTTTTGGATTAATCGAGAGACGAGGAACAACTCGTTGATTACTTTTTACTGACAAACTTGTATTCGTAACATCAGTTAAATTAACTTTATTAGAATGGCATCTATTATAAGATGGTAGAGGTGGTGATAATAATCCATTTCTCGCAGTGCAAACATATCGATCAACATCACCAAGATGGTCACACGATAAAAACCGTTGAATCTGACCACGAGGACGTTGTGAATATCGATGAATTGTTGATCTATCAGATTGTATTACCGATGAAACACTTTCGGTTTGATCATTATTATTTGGATTTAGTTTGAAACATAAACAACGAGTCCATTTACATACAGCTATAAGAAAAATAATAAATACAACAGATAGAATAGCGATACAGAGACCAATAGAATCAGGTGTAATTGGTATTGGAGGTAACTCGAACGATTCTGAAAGATCAAATTCAGACACTAAGAAGAAAAAAATAAACAAGAATTACTCATAAGACCTTACTTAGTTTACTATGCTTTTCTTACGACTTTATGAGAAAAAGCATCGACAAATTCGTCATATCTTGAATAAATGGAAGAAATAGGAACATAAACTTTGACTACTTGTATGATTTTTCCTTCCTTTCTCTTTTCATCGCTATTATTATGTTGCAACGAACATACAATAGGCGTGGCGCATCAGTTGGGTTTTTTTTTTGTGCTACTCATTTATTTTGATAGAAGGAAGTGACAAACCAAAACAACCAGGGGAATAGATCATTTGAATTGCCGTTATTTTAGTTTCATGCTCGATGCTAATTACCCAACAAAGAATATTGTCAACATAAAAGTATTTAAAAAAAAGCAAAAAGATCATTCCCATCAAATATATATCATTTCATTAAGAATGATTTTTTTTGCGACTGATCTCAATCGATTAAATAGTAGCGATCTTGACTGATGGATCAATGTTGATACAAATTCATTTTAAAAATGAATTTTCTAATACGAAACTGATTCCATATTGAATCCCACTGCATACAAAGATTTAGTTGTTAAGGAAAAATATGTTTTCGAATATTTGAGTTTTACTCATAATAAAATCAATAGTTATCGATGCAACTATACATTAGTGAAATATAACAATGACCAGAAGTATATGTGAGAACAACGATTTGAATAAAAAAATTATAAAGAATATATATTATGTTTGAATTTAAAAAGTCAAGACAATATGCCAACAGATTAAAATCAGTGTATTATGTCGTTCTTCTATGAAGTATGACGCTCTAGAGCTTTCAATTTGACAGTGTGGACGTCAGACAATGTAATTTAATCTATATAAATAGAATTGGTGTTATTAATACACTGACCATATGAGATTTTGTAATTAAATTATTACAAGATCAGATTTTTTTGTATATTAGAAAGCATAATTATACGTCATCAAACTAATTTTTCTTGTTTCTAATCTTTATTTAAATTGATAACTAAAGGTTTCTAGTAGAATTGTTTTCCTATGCATCATAAGCTATCTAACGCTGATCTTTAATTAGCAGAAAACAAAATGATTAGATTTTCAAATAATTGTCAATCTTGTCATATATGTTTGAAAAACAAATGAAAAGTCATTCGACAAAATCTATTTTAAGATTCATTCCTTTACTACCATCAATATTGTTTAGCTGAACTTCATTAATGATATTTTTTTTCTGATACGATCATCTTCATTTTCAGTCCTCTGTTTCTCTTAGAACTGATTCTCATTCTCAATTTATCAAAACAACAATCAAATATAACGATAAATCAAACATAAGGTATTAATTGATTAAATTCAATTTAATGAAAAACATTTCTCGTTTTCATCGTGACAAATAAGCTACAAGGTATTTTTTATTTGAAAATTAAAATTTTCAAAATTGAAGTTTTTCTAGAGGCTCACTATCTTCTCAAGTAAAAATCAATTTTCGTCAAAATTATCAAAATTAAGGTAAATGCACGAAAGTATAGCTGAAGGCTTGATCTTTCATAAATGACATGATTTTTCATTCGACATTCCCTTTTTTTTTGTCAAAATTTGTTATGCTTTGTTTCATCACCTCCTAGAAAAATATGCTGTTGTCAGAAAAAGCAGAAAATCTTTTTCCTTTTTTCTTCGTTTATGCTTCTTTGATCGCCCATCCTAGTATTTTCGACGGAGCTGCATTGCAATGGATTGCTTTGCTTTTTGAAAGAACATATCAAGATGCAGGGCACGACATAGTCCCTTTTTTGAATTAAGCTTTGTTCCTATTATATAAAGGAGTACTTCTGTAATCAGAGCGCCATTTTTTTTTGAGATATTGAACTTTTCTTCTCTTAACAAGTAAGAATTAAGCAAAAAACGTCTCTGTTATACCCTGCATTCTAACACGTTCTTTCAAACAAAACACAATTAAGCATATAGAATGACAGCCCATAGAGAATTTTGAATTGTCAAATCAGTTATTCTTGATCTTTATTTGTTGAATATCTCCCGAAAATATTATTGTACAGAACTGAAAATTTTACCATAGCCTCTCCACTATAGCTACAAGATATTTTTGAAGTAATTTAAATGTACTGGACTGAAGCTCGATTTTTGAGGAGCGATGGAATCTCGATAGATTTGATAAGTTCTGCTTAATAACCGTAAACTGATTATTGATAGAAACATATAATGATGATTTATCTCAATACATCTCGATGTTGATATTACATACAACAAATCACGTTCAAAATCATATTATTAAAATTTATAGCAGTGATATTTAAAGTTTTTAATTTCAATTTATAAAAATAATACAGAAATTTGCATATTGTAACATAAAATATACCTTATATAAAGTCTATCAGACAATAAATCGTAACAGACAAATTTTCTTTCATTTTTCTATTCTGTATCAGTTAAAGAACTTATCATCTGTCTTTTGAACAAACTTTGATAATCGTTTGAAATTGTATAGAAAGAATTTTTTTGTAAATAATAAAGGAAATAGTGCAGATGATTAGTCAATTATATTAAGAACATGCATGTCATGGTACTTATTAAATGAATACACTTGATGGAGCCACTAAATGATTGACAGGTTTATTAATATTAATCATATTCATCTATACAAACCAATCTATTTTTAAAATTAGACACATAGCAGTTCAAAATATTATTTGTCAATCTAGGCTCCATTGTTTTTTTGTTTTGTTGCAATTGCAAAACGAAACAAATAATAGATTTTAAAGAATTTATTCAAACGAGATTGTTGACCATCTCTAAGCACACATTGTTTGACTGTTTATTTGCTTTGATGATACAAAAAGAAACGAAGTAAGACCTATTCATAGTGATTAATTTATCACACAGTAATAAATGAATCGAATTCAATAATATTGGTATGACACGAACAATATAATTGATTTTGTGAACAGAAAAAAGTTTTAAAAAAAAAGGAAAATCACCTAATCTAACTAATTCTTTTACCAGAAGAATGAATGCGTTGCTATTTCAATGCATTTAATTCTTTTCATAAGTTTTGAACGACTCATTAAGAAACTGTGACGTACATTTCATTTGGTTTTGTAAACTCTACTCAAGAAAATCAAATTATGATCCTTTGTAATTAGTTCATTTCTTTTTCTATTTTCACAAAAACATGAAGTATACTTTGAGTCATCAGAAGTTTTTAAGGTCTGTCATACTTTTACTTTGGCAGACAAAGGAGTGAATCAGGCAGACAAAAAAAAATGGCAAATACATTTTTTAGAGTATATTTTAAGAAATAAAATAAGGTGTCACTTATGTTTTCTTAGTTAGCCGTTCGAAACTTATGAGAAGAAAAAAATGCATTAAAATGATAATGCATCTACTCTTCCGGTAGTAGAGTTAGCCGAACAAGCCAAAAGCACCCTAATATTTGATTGACGGAAAAAAAAGCTACTTCTATTGGAAGGGGCATCTATGCAACCACTAGAATAATTTTTTTTTTGTTATTTGAATTGACAGGAAATAGATTAATCTAGATATACATTCAAACTTAATTTATTTAAAAAAAGAGTTATATTTTACCTGAGTACCTGTAAAAACCATTTTACATCTACACTCTTATTCGAACTTAGTGAACCATTCATATATTAAAAATCCTAATTAAATTGTTCTCTTACATATATTATCTGAAATTTAATATTCACTGGCTGTTCATTTCATTTACGAATAGGGTAATATGATGTTATTCATTATCAATAGTAGTAGCAAATTGTGACAGAAATTTTCATACATTTTATTACTACTGATACTTGTCAAAAAACTGATTATAGAGAACATTATATTGTTAACTATTATGTGTTGGATGCTATAGACACCAGTTTGCAGTGAAATGTAGTAAGAAGTGATGAGTTTTCATTCAATAGAGTTTGTTCAGACTAAAAATGATGGTCACAGAAGCATATTTTGTATACAGACAAAATATATTAGATAAATATGAAGATCCATTTCAAGCATTAACCATTCATTGTGTAACTTTCATTCTTGTCTTTTATATTAGAGGACTTTGCATCTTTACAAATTTATTCAATTATTTCAAATCTTTAGTCATGAATAGTTAGCCGAAAAAACGAAACTTCTATCAACAGATTAATCAAATTATCAAAACAAAATCAGTCTTTCGATCCAATAGAATCTTTTTTTTATCTAGCTTTTAATAGTTATAAATAACTTAAGTGAAAATGATATATTGAAATTATGCTTGTCCATAAATCTACTATAAATATGATAACAGTAACTACAATGAATTCTTTTTATAGCTATTCGAAGGCAAAATTGAAAGAAAAAAATAATTCATAGGAAAACAACAACAATCAAATAGAAATCGACTAGATCAAATACATGCGTGTTACTCAGTCTGATTCATTACAAGAACGGATTGCATAAGAAACAAGAAAAGTGCGTCTCATTTTTACACGAATAATAATAATAATAAAATCTGTACGAAATAGACATGAAACGACGAAAGAAACAAAATGGAACAAATAGAAAAAAAAAAAAAAAGAAAAAGATTTGTAATCATGTCAAAATAAATTGCTTAGTTATTTGTTGTTACTTCTTCATATTGAATGTTTGATCAATCACTAGCTGAATCGCTATTATTGCCAGATGATGAACGGCCATATACCGGAGAATTTTCATTACCACTGATACCCGTTGCATTATCTTCTGGTTTTATAGCTGGATTTGGAGCTTCAAAATGAGCATATTGTTTAGCAGAATTTTTTTGTTTAACTTTATCTTGTTTTCTCCAAAGAACGATTTCCTAAAAGAAAAAAAAGATAAATTAAAAAAAAAAAGAAACAATTTTTAATATAAAAAAAAAAAAAACAAATACTTGTTGTTTAAAATAGCGTCGTTCTTCTTCATCAACTAGAACTAAATTAAGAAAATATCGAACAGAAAATTTTCTTTGAACATCTTTCATTGTTGGTGTTAAATCATAACCACCCAAAAAAAGACGAATTGGAATACTTTCACCTCGAACAGGTGCACCATCCATAATTTCATATTTTGCAATTGTCTCAGTTTCAGCATAAATATTTGGTCCACTACCGGTACTTTCTTTTTTTAAAATAGCTATTTCCATATGTTTTATTTTAATACGAACAAGTAAAAAATAAATTTTTCCAACAATAACATCTTTTAAATGATACCTAAATAAAAGAAAAACAATATCAAACATCTTACAAATAAAATTCAACAAAACTTTACTTTGATTTATT